TTAACTTACAGAACCTTCACAAATTGAATTAAAAACATAAGATTTAAACGTAGATAAAATTTGCAAAACACCACAGTAATTTTCAATTCAGATGATGATTCAATTTGCAGCACCTTCATAAACTGAATAAAACCATAAAACACAAAAACACACCTGATACACATTCTACAGTTATCATTTTGTAGATTTAGAGGTAAAACTTTCTGAATTTCTTGCTCCGACCAAAGTGCTCTGAATGCACGGAGACTTCTGAACTCTTGAATATGACTTTTGTGACGCTTCACAGCACTTTAAATGGGTCACGCTAAAATACATTAAATTGGCCCAGATTACTTTAAAACAGCCCTTTAAACAATATTTTACTTATATAACAGCCCTGCATCAAAACTAATTCTGCTGATTTGCATAACAGGCCTAATATTACCTCATTTTGAGTTCAGAAATATTAGGTACAAACTTTCCGTCTCATACAGTTATTTCCCCACAAAATTATTAAAAACTGAAAAACTCTATAGCTTTAGATTTCACTAAAGTGTTTCTCCTTCTGATAAAGTCTCTTGCTTCTCAGATGTTTCTCCTGGGAAAACGCAAAGAAAAGATCTTAATTCCTCAAACTGAGTTTTTTTTTAAGATACCAAAGACTGCAATAAAAATCTCAGTATAAACTCAAACATTTCTCATCAATTTCTCCCAATATCAAATGATCTGAGCTGCTCTCCGTATTCATTTTATATGAATAAATAAATAAGGTGGCCAAATGAATATATAACTCAGATTGAATAATTTGTATATACAACACTTGAATCGATTGTATTAATTTATGAACATTTTCAGTTATGCTTAAAAGGTCTTCAGAAATTTTGTCTCGAGTAACAGTTTTGTTTTTGTATCTTTTTGTATAGATTAAATGTATGAGATTATGTTTATTATGAAAATGGTAGAATGGTTTTTATGAGAAACTAAGACTTCATACACCTTTTCTGGTTAATATGTAAAATTATGCATAATTATTATGGAATTGAGTAGACTGAAATAAAAAATGTTTTTGAATCTCTGATGATAGCTAGCTATTAAAAAGCAACCTCAGAGCAATACAGTTTTTACTTTTTTATTTTATTTTATTTTTAACTGCTAAAAGCATCTCTAAACCATCCATTACAATCAATAAATGCAATGCATTATGAAAACCAACATTGTGAGTTATTGCAACACGACTAATGCACTGCAGAAGAAAACTCACTCACGTCTCACACACTTCACATGAGTGAACACACACACACCAACACACTCACACTCACTCACACACTACACACATCACACGCGAGAAAACACACACCCACACACACACT